AGTGATGGGGAGGGGAGGGAGGGGCTGAAGGCAAAGGGGTTTGGAGTTACCTGTGATGGATTAGTCACTTCATACAGCAGAAATTGAGATTGGTAGTGCAATGGGTTTGATTGGGGTGAGGGGTGTTAGGATGAATATCAGATAAGTTTTCCTTCATGATAGGTTATTCATAGCACTTAAGAAATTGGAAAATTTTGTTGACCTGGGCTATTTTTTAGTTATTCATGTAGAATAGTCTTTCCAGTTCTTTTACACTATCATCCAGCTAATCATTTCTTTCTGAAAACCCTTCAAAGCCAACATCCTCTAGAAATTTCCTTGACTTAATTTTTACCAGTGGACATCTTGAGGTAAATGTTGAGTTTCTTATTCAGATTGATAAATTGGTTCAACTTATAGAGTCTCCAATATTCACATGTGAGTAATACCTTTGCTATCAATTTCAATTAAGAAATTAAAATAAGTTTCTCTTGAGAGTTGGAAGCTGACTATGTAGAACTGATTTTCATTAATGTTATCAGTGATTTTCTTTTGGCTGTTAAAGTAAGAGTACACAGTATAATGTCCTGACTAGTTCTACATATGGGTAGCATGCATCTGATTGGTCGAGAGGGTGTTTTTTTCCACCAATCACAGAGGAAAATTAATTTAAACAAGTGCTGTCTTGCGTTACTATTGACACTCAGACAGTACATTGCTCCAAGTAAGACATTATCACATTAGACATTTTGGTGAGTAGTATAGCTGAGTACTTTTACAAGTTGTGCCCTATTTTGATGGGCCTGCAGGGGGCATCAAATAACAAACAAAAGCAAAGCGAACAGAGGGACAGTTTGCAACAATTCTTGTATAAAACTTAGGTCAGATTACAGTATATAGTAAACAATTTTCCAGTTAACCACACAATGTTGTTGGTTATTTGTACTCTATTTGATGCAGGTGGGTATCTTTTTTTACAGATTTACGTCTCCAGCTTTTGGACACACAAAAAAATCATTTTCTTTTGAAGTCCTTGTATGGCTTGCTGATGCTCCTTCCACAAAGTGATGCTTTTACAACCTTAAGAAACAGATTAGACTGTGTACCAAATGGAAGAGCACTGCCATCTGGCATAAGGTAAAATTAAAAAAATCTTAACAGTAACTATTGATGATTTTGGTTCACCATAAAGTCAAGTCTCTTATAAGCACTGAAGTTAATTATGATACTTGTTCCATGTTCAAGTTTGTTATGAGAGCTTGGCTTTGGCAGAAATGATAAACTCTTAGAGATGTCAACTATTTAGATTTTTCTTTTTTCCAAGTCCCTTCTACTTGGTACCCCTAATTTGATGGCCATCCCTTGTCAATGATGTCTACCATCACCTGCATATTCAAAAACACTATTTTGGGTGGAACCTGCATGCATATTTGAGAGATGCTGTAACTGAAAGGTAGCTCAATCAAGTCAAGAGGTCTGCTTTAGAGAACAGGCAGGGTGCATGATTGTGTTGTGCTCTTTGGCAAGACACAACCCTCACTATGCCCTGTCCACTCAGGAACCTAAATGGCTACTGGTGAACTGTAAGCAAAACCTGACAAAATGCTGATCAGAGTGGGGGGAGTAACCTGCAATGGGCCAGCATCCCATACAGGGGGGATGGAAACACTTCTTGTTGCTTCATGCTACAGAAACCAGAATAAGCTCTTCTTGGACAGGCCACTTGGTCAGTGTACAAATTTTACTTTTTTTTTTTCAGGATTGTAAGACTTATGGTGCATGATTGACCTAATGCTATTTTTTTTCCTTTCCATTCTTTCATTTCAGTGATACTCATGGTGCACATGACTTCCCATTGCGTGAACATGTTCAAAGAATAAATTTCAAGGAACTCTTACACCAGTTCAAGACCGTACAACAAAAACATTTTATAAACAAACATTCTCGCTCTCCACACTTGGCTAAGAATTTGTTGAATGTGTAGATACCTTTTCAGGGTTTATATAATAACATATAAAAAAGTACAAATTTTATTTTGAAGGTATTTCAAGTGTAAAATAATGTCATTAGTTTATAAAGATTGTTGACTGCCAGCTCAGTTGGATCAAAAATTATTAAAAAGATGATCTTTGTTTTAAGAATTGTTGATTAAGACTAGGCAAATACATTTTTGATATTTTACCACATAGTGACTGCCAGGAGACAGTATTAACCCTTTACACCCTAACATCAGTTTTGCATGTTCTCTATACTTTTCTTACAGTATTTAAAAGGATAATTTTTTAATAATCAAGAACTTCTTGAGTCTGCAATAATTTCCTTCATTCTCAGGATTTTTATTTCTGTTTCAGGGGGGGATACTGTTTGGAAAAATTAGATGCTTATAACTCTTAATGTCAAAGGTTTAATGACCAGTGAAGCTTAAAGGTATTGAGAGTAACATCTGAATAGTACTAATAAGAGGAAATCTCATGAAGGTTCAGCATCTTGTCCAAAATTTCTAGATTATTACAGCATACTGTAGTAAACAGATGTTGAGTACAGTCAATTGGTGATGGTATCATGTTGATCCACACCTAAGTGGTAAGGAGGAAATGAAGGCTTTTGAGAAAGTACTATGCTGTGATAATTGAGAATGGATGTACATGTACTCTTTTACCTTTTCAAGGTGAATTTATTAACTTAATAAAATAACAGCACACAATACAAAACACAAAGAAGAGTAGTACATGGGAATATGGATTTCAAACCATTTATTAGTTGTTCTGGCACCCCTCTTCCAAAATTTCTTCAGTCTGTGAAATTGTTTCCTTAAAAAATGATTTAATTTGCCTCTCATAAGAGGATAGAAGTCTTCATGAGTTAGAAATTGACAAAATAATATAAACTGATTTCCAGTAACAGTCTCCCAGCTCTTTGTATTTACATTGTCATTCAAAGTTCCCTAAGTTACTTAACAGTAACATTAAGCAGCAGGTCCATCGTCTTTCTTCAATGATGATCAGCAACCATGACATATCTTAATCCACAATAACCACAGGCATGAGGTCCTTCCTGGTCCTGCAGCACATAAACATTCATTTGTTTGTGTTGTGTAGTGCATTCTTACAGAATTCCAATTACCCATAAACATCATTAGAATCTTGATAAGAGGACCATATGGGACAGTGTGAGCAGGGGATGTGGGACAAAAGAAGTCCATGAAAAAAAGAAGAGGAAAAGCGGCCATCATGTGATAAAATACTTATTGACTGTTAGGAAGGTCTTCCCACCCAGTTGATAAGTATGGCATTGTACAATAAGCTAACAAACCTTATCCCTTAATCTTGCCATACTAACATATAAAAACGTTTAGTATAGTTTAAGGGAAATAATCCCCACAATAGTAAATCAGTTTGTTAGTTACAGAGTTGATGTAAGGAATTATTGAAAACAGGTGTGGAAAACTGTGATCTGTTATTGTGATAAAAATTGAAAACTAAGACAGATTCTATACCTTACAATCTGTCTGTAAGTGCTCTTATCCCATTAACAGATACTCCCTCAAGCAGAGAAGAGGGGAGGGGGAGGGGGGGGAGCATCAAGACACAACACATGTACATGTACATGAAACATGCAGAGGTTTGTTTTACCAGACAGACAATTTGCACAAAATACAGTAAATCCTACCAAGTTGATGTACACCTTAGGATGTCCAAGAGGTCCTCCTCCTAAGATAATAAGAATTAGGAGACAAGCAAATCAAATTTTCTTCACAGCTTATAATGATACGCAACTTTTATTTATCCAGGATCACTGTGAACTTTGAAATAAGTGGGCAAAAATACCTGCCAATCAGATGTGAGAAAACTAATCAGTGACTAAGAGTGATAAGTGGATCAATTTGTGGTTTGTTTGTATGTAATGATCTCCAGTGTGATTGGTTATCACACAACAAACATTATAGTCCCAAATTACATCACGTGTCCAAATTTTCCAACTTTGAGAGTAAATCTCTTCTTCTGCCTCCCGAATATATAAAACATTAAAAGTTTGAAAGAAGCCAAACAGGTACATTTGACAAAGGAAAAAACAAAACAAACCATGCAGACTTTGTATGTGCAGCTAGAAATGATTCACCAAGTATTTAAGAACAGGCTAAGTGTTTCCTCTAAAACATTTGTTAATTTGAATTAACACAGAACACATGCTCAGTGTAATGTGATGCTTTAAAATTGAATTTGAGGACTGATCATCTTAGTAAAGATAATCTTGCCAAGACAGTTGTGGACAAAAGTGAATGACAGAGACCTCAATGACTCTAACTCAAGTTTTCAAAACAGTCTGATATCAAGATTTCCTTATAACCCCATACTTTCCTATTCATGTAGTTTGTAGATTAAAAAAAATGACAAAAAAAAACTCTTTACTGTTAATCCTAAGACTTCCTTTTTATATGGGGTTAAAGCAAAGGTCGGAAAGATTTCCATATAAACCCATTCTATAGTAAAACAAAGCAGCAGTTCGTCAGGCAATCATTGCTTTCACCATTGTTTTCTTTATCTTAGCACTGTATGAATAATGAAGTATGGGGCTGTGTGGAAATCTTGCCCAAAACTCTTTTTTAAAATCTTGCCCACACCATCAGACTACACAAATACCGATCACTCTTAGGTTCAAACAATACAAAGCAGTAAGGCAAGGAAGAAGACTTAACCTCCATCACACCATACATGACGCCCATGAATCTCAATTGGTGGTTCTTCTGCGACCAGGTCAATTGCAAACTTCTCATTTACCTACAGGTAGGCGAAAATTAGAACTTAAAGTTGCACGATAAACTGCATGTGATGCAATATGACTTAAATGTTTACTGATGATACCCACCCAGTCAGCTCTTTATTGCGCCAAAGCTGGCCTGTAATACCTTACTTGTAAATAAAAATGCCTTACCTCCTTTGGCCTGTCTATAAAGCGGGCCATTCTGTAATCGCTTGGTTCCCATTGCTACAAATTTCAGAGAACTTAATTAGCATTATAAGTCTGATATATGTGCCCACAAAAGTCATTTAAGTCATTAAAAATTTTGACTGTGCCGTGATTAAGCGAAATCCTTAACCACCTGTCCAGTGTGAGTCACTTTATCTGGAGAAGCAGAATTTGGAGCCGAAAAGTGGAGGGCCACGACGCCACGGAGGTTGTTTCTGACAAACAGTCGTCGAGAAACAACTCGCAAGGAGGCCGCCATCTTGACTTTAGATATCCCACAATGCTGTTCGCACGTATAAATGTACTTAGGTATGAGTCAGCGGTCTACCTCTGCAATCAACAACAACATGGCGGACAGGTCGTCAGACAAGAAAACAGATAGAAAAAGAGGAAAAGGCGAAAGAAAGGAGGAAAGAAAGAAGAGGAAACGTAGTGAAAATGAAGAAATAGAACTGGCTAAACATTATGAAACATTGTAAGAGTAAAAATTCTCTCAAACTATTTTTAGCGTCGGGAAAGAATATTTTGACCATGAGATTGTTAGGCTAGCAAATTTTGAAATTGTGGCATCTGCAAAGGTTGAAATACATTCAGTTCCAATGGAATTTATATTTGCGTGTTATCATGACTGTGCTTGCCTTTTTAGCTATGAACAGCCACCCCCAGGGATCATAAAGGTAAGAGACTGGTATCTAACATTTTGTTTGTAAATTGTCTTGCGCTGGAAGTTAAGTTGCTCCGTAACTAAACACTCATTTTGGAGAGATTTGAAAGTAAAATTTCTGCACCTATTATGTTTATTCAAGAGTTTCCCTTTTGCGAAATTTTAGAGATGGCCTATACAGTTTTTGAGAATGTTCTACGTGGGCTTCTATATTGCAGAAGAGTAACTTGGCAGAAAAGCACAGACCTGCCAGCAACCATGTTGCAACATTACCGCACCAACCGATTTTTACAATAATGACAATGAATAGCTCACTTGACTAAGTATCTATAGTATGTGTTGCCAGTAATACCTTAACAAAGTTAACCTTTGCTGTCTCTGTATGGTAAGTTGGGAGTGCAAATTCATGATGATTTTGATGGCTCCTTTTCAACTAGGAGAAAGAGGAGCTTCCAGAAGAATGTATACCTGATTTACCTGAAAACCAGAGTGCAAGAGATTTTCTTTCCCATGCCCCCACTAAAGGCCTGTGGATGCCACTTGGAAAGGAGGTCAAAGTTATGAAGTGTGAGTTATATTCATTTGGAAACTGGATCTTCTTGAGTGTACATTACATTACAAGAGTTTTCTTCTCATGAAGTGTGTTATAGAGTATCATACATAGCAGGTCTTTCTGTTTCCTTTGTGAGAGAAGTGTGGGGGAAGTGTAAGCCCTTCATTTGCTTTCTTACGCTGCTCTCCTTTGTTGCTAATGGCTGTGTGACCAAAACAGGTACAGCATGTAGTGCACAAATCAGGCAAAATTTGGGAGTCTCTTTTTTTCATTTTATTTGGCTTTTGTGAAGTGGCTTAACAGTCATTGAGCTGGGCTCAAGGTCTAGAGGTGCTGTAGGGTCATTATGTTGTATTTTCCAGCAAGAAACTTGACTTTCACAGTGCCTCTCTCCACCCTAGAGAGTAAATGGGTACCAACAAATTGCCAAGGGAACCTGGCAAATGCTGGGGGGATGGGGGTGGGTAACCTGCAGTGAACTAGCATCCTATCCACAGGAGTAGAAATACAAAGTCCAAGTCACTTCAGAAACCTGGATAAACTCCAGACTCACTTACTTGGGTTTAAAACTTTAAATGATCTCTTATTTAGGTTGGCGATGTAAAGCCTATGGCCACAGGACAGGTGACAGGGAGTGTCCCTTGTTTATCAGTGGCAACAAAAACAGTGAAAAGTTTCGAATGGTGAGATCTTGTTGACTTAACTACAGACCAAATATTATGAGAGGTACTTTTAGTGAAAGTAACAGACTACAAACTACTTAATATTAATTAAATAAAAGTATCTATTAGGGTCCACTATAAGTGGTGCAATCTGATTGGTTACACTATAAACCCTTTAACTCCCAAGATCTGATTGTTAATTCTCCCCTGTAGCTACTACACATAATTCCTTGTAAATTAGTTATGAGAACTTGGTGCTAGATCAAGATAGCAGCTTCTATCTGATAAGTTTGAATATTCTCATTACCTGTTTGCTGAAGAATGTATATATATATATATATTGTAGAGAGAAGTTTTATGCTAATCACTTCTGGGGGTTAAAGGGCTAACTTTCTATTCTTTGATAGATAGTGAAACTAGGGAATAGCTTCACAATATACAGTTGTAAACAAAAAGAAATGAAGGCACTTTTTTTTATTTTGTTATTAAGTTTTGAATTAAGTTTTAAATGACTGTTAAATATCTGTTAAACATGTACATTTTGTGCACCCTAATGTAAAAAAAATTTGATATACAAATCAGGCACATGAAGACCCAATGCATGAGTTCATTCAAGATAAAAAGAGAGCAGAAAAGGAAAGCAGGTGGGATATTGTTTTTGACCTTGTTTACACTCACTGGTGAAGTTTATCCATATTACTACAGAATGAGGCAGTTCGAGCTGTGGTCACTCTGCTTGATGTGATGCTAAATGTACATATATATATATAACCCACAACCATTTTGTCTGGTTTCCCTGAAAGTTTTCCTGGTGGAGAGAGGTGCTCTGCATATTGAATTTTACAACATTTCATGACTTGCAGTGTCACTTTACAACATCACATCAGAATATGTCACTGTATCAGGTGATGCCACTTCATCTTACCAAATCAGTCAAGGAACATATCGCAGCTTCAGTTGGTAATCTTAATATTTTCAGAATACAACAGCTCAAGGCCTTACTTGAAGAGTCAACAACAAGCGAGAGTGATTCAGAGAAAAGCAGCAAAAGTTCTGGTGATGAAGACAGAAAAAAAAGACATAAAAAATCCAAGGTGAAACATAAACGGAAAGAGAGCAAAAAACATCGACGTAAACACCGGAAGTTATCAAAACACAATGACGGTGATAGAAGGAAAGATGATTCAAGGGAGAAAAAGGACAAAAGATGAGAATTTTAGAACAGGGGATAATATGGCATGTGTTATCAAGTTATCATCATTTGTCAAAAGGCACGTGGTCAGATCTGTTGGAGCCTAGCCCTCCACAATCGGAGTCTGTTAGCCGAGACAGGAAGTTGGTCCTGTTGAGATCGTGTCGAGAAGAGGCTTTCGGCAAAACACATAAAATGTGATCCCTTAACCTGGATGGAGGAAATCCCTTGTGCACTAAGGCAGATAGATATGAAATCACATCCGCTATTTCCGTAGAGTTTTCGGTCCCCGAAAAAAACGGAGGTTGCCAGAACCGGCTCTCCCACTCAGTCAATAGGTACATATCAAGTTGAGAGTCGAAAATAGTTTAAAAAACAGAAACGTTTTGGAGAAAGACAAAAGTTTAATCCCTCAGTATCACCTAGTAAATATAGCTACACATATTCTTATGCTTCTAGAGTTCAGTCTGTATCGACAGAACACACAAATCCCCTGTCGTTCGTTTAGTATACCACACTACTTGTGCCAGCTCAAGAAACGTGAATCTGTTAAACAGCAGTGTGACAAAGGCAATCCTCTTGAAGCCCACCACTTAAAGTAAAGCGAACCACTTCCATTGTCATCACTTTGCATCATTGCCCTTTCTGTGTAACCATGACAACAAATTCTGCGTGTCGAAAAAAAGAAAGATCGTTTTCAGCATAGACAGAATAGATAGATCAGGTTATTTCACTTGGACGAAACGTTAAGTCGTAAATTTAGTTTACAAGTTTTGCGCGAAACAAAAGATAATAACTGTCGGTGATGTACACTGCTAATGCTAGAGCGGCGTTTGATAATGAAAGGGAAAGATCACTTGAATCCTCCAGGGTGTGTTTCGACTGAGTTGGGTAATTCCAACACCGAAGCAATCAAAACGGCCAATCGAATGAAGAATGATACCCTAAAGATCCCCTGAGAGACGCAGGTAAAAACGAGGAAACTGGCTGAAACGCGAGAAAAAGGATGAGACGAAGTCACGATGTTTTTCAGTGTTGTATCTGATTGTTCAGGTGGCTGGCGATAGTCTCATGGACCAATAATGGGGTGGGGTACAGCAAGAACGAGGAATCCTAGTTTAAATTCAAGATTATGTTAAAAAATTGCTTTAAAAGCGCGGGAAGTAATTGAAAAGGTAGAGACCTGGGAAAGAGGTTGACTAAAAGTTCGGCCCAAGTCCCGCTCTCATTCAAGAAGTACCTGCATAACTGACTTTTCCATCGCTATCCGTATCAGCCTCCTTGATCATGTCATCGATTTCTTTCTTTGAGTAGGTTTTGCCGCCAAACGTTTTCATCACCAGTCCCAGCTCGTCACTTGTTATGAAGCCATCTCCATTTGTGTCAAACTTCTTGAAGTAATACTTGAGGTCGTCACCAGTCATCGGTTCTCCAATTTGGCTGGCCATCATGTCCTCAAACTCACTATATTCTACTTTACCATTGCCTAAAGGAGAAATGGAAAACAAAGATAAGAACATTACAAATCAGATCATACCGCGGTCAAAGGCAAAGTCTGTGTTCAAGCTTAGCCCACCTAATCGGAGCTTTTCCCGGTCTCCTTGGCATGAAGCGACTAGGAGTGTTACTACTCCCCCCTGGATGCTAGTCCATCGCAAGATTACCCTCAGTATTTCATCAGGCTTCCCTAAAAACTCACCATCCGACTTTAACATTTGCCTCAAAAAAAGTTTAGGATTCAGGTTACAACTGAGATCGTAATATTCTCGAATAGCACACTTTTTTTTTATCCCAGGTTTTAGACATTTATACACGTTTCTTCCTCCTTCCTTTTAAAAACTAGGAAGAGAATAATTTTTGTACCATTGCGATCCACTGCTTTGATCATGTCTTTAATTTCCTCGACTGACATCTCCTGTCCAGCTTGCTTCATGGCTTCGCCTAACTCTTCCACCGAGATATGCCCGTCATTGTTTTTGTCGAACAGCTTGAAGGCTGCCTCTATTTCTTGAAGGAAAGAAAGGTTAATGAATATCACGAAATTAGCTAGGAGATATAGGTTGTGGAAGAGTGTATTGGAAGAGTGTATTGTAGACTAATAGGAAGGACATAAAAACACTAATCCTGGGTTGAGTTGAGGTTCGGGCCTACTTAAAGCTTTTAACCGCACCTTTGTTGTTACAGTTTACAAATATTTTTCGGGAATAAATATAATAGTGGTGTAGGCATTAGGGTCACCATAGATAAGCCCTTAAGCCAAAAGAATGCCGGGTAGAGCATCTCTCAGGCTTCTCCACTGACTAACCGCGGGCTCTAAATTCTAAATTGCGAGTGATTCTAAATCTCTCTTTTCCTTATTATTACATTTCTGCAACTCTTACCTTCACGCTGGGCTTCAGTCAATCGTTGAGCCTGTCATTTAAAAGAAGCAGATTTCATTTTTTCACATTCACATGTTTTTGTCAGAGAATCTCTCTCACTAAAGCGGCTATTAATTATAGAGAATCCGACCACCTGCTATTGGGAGTACTACAATATTAAAAGGTTTTCAACAACTTTAGCTACTTCATTCTGTAACAATTTAGATACAGCAGCTGGTAATTGATCTGTTTGATGGAAATGACTCCACCAGTGCCTTGATATTGCATCGTTAAATGAATTCTTCGCGTTTCGTTCGAGAAAGCCATTTGTATTTTGTTCCGTCTCCGCTGTGAGCCTGAATAAAGCTGAATTAAGGTATCAAAATATGTATTTGTTTAGTTTGATGACTCAACCTGCGTCCTTTCAAGACCACCTAGGCCTTTTCGTCGCATTTGAAGTCTAATACTTTGTTATTAAGAGATGAAAATATATTTTAGAAAATGTTTCGCCAGGTTTTCTCAAGTTAAAAGTATTTTGTTATGATCTTGGAAACTTTTTTATGCCCTAAGAACGACATTTTAACTCGAAGTCTGAAAATCGTTTTCTGTGTATTGGTTTTGAATATTTTTAATGATTTACTTAAAAAAAGGCAAGGCGCTGAAAAACGAGTGATAATGAAGAAGATTTAATTTGTTTCCCCGGGCCTGCGGGAAATACAATATGGTCACCAACTTTAATTATTAAGCAAGGGTATAGCGAAATATGTTTTCCATGTTTTTTTTAATTCCTTTTCATCTCGGATTGATGAAAATGCTGTGGAGCCCAAAACAGCGCGAATCACCGGAAATGGACTTCCGCGTCCGTCAGTATTTTAAAAATTTGAAATTAAAAAAATTAAGCCTCTTTTAAGTTAAAACCCTAGATTATTCTGGGGTAAATTTACTTTGAAAATTATGTTTTATGGGTTTCTAGCCTAATTCGTCATGCTTCAATACCAACTGAAGATGTAAAGCCAATTGTGTGATACAATTTTCGGAGAATTTTGGCGATAAATACATGGCCGCCATCTCTAACGCTTTCTGTTTTTAGCAATGAATTATGGAAAAGGATACAGGTATTATGGACGGTCTCTTTCATTCATATGTCAAGACGGGTTTGTTTTTTCGTTGTATAGACTCAATCCACCGATAAAATCATACAAGGTAAACGAAGTGGGCGTGATCTAAAATTTAAGAAGTAACATATCTTACACCGCTCCCTAATGCAAAATTTGCCAGTTTCCAAGACATTTAATCGGTATAACTACAATTTAATTCAGCGCGCTGTAGTCGCGATCACGATTTTGAACTTGAAATATTTTTTGGATGTTTGTTGGTGGTTTTCCCACAACTAGACGATTTGAAACAGACACTCCCACTCGAGCGAGCATCAGCGATGCCTAATAGCCACAGATGAAGTTATATTATTGAGTGTTTTCAATTTCACGATGACATACTGCGAATCTTCGTTTTCTTATCCTTGTCTTTTTGTTTCATGTAATCAGCGACTGCTGTATGAAGCGCAAACAAGCGAAGACGCAGCGGTACTACATTTTAAACTTGAACGTAAGTGAGTGGAACATCATCGAGGCCGCCGATGGTGAACTTAGCCTGGATCCGGAGTTAGTAGATTTATAAGAAGCATAAATAGCGTACATTTAAAAAATGACATCTATCTATACAATTTCTTTCCTTTAAGGCGACTTACCATTTTGACAGGAGAGTGTAAACCTGTTCTTGATGAAAGGAGATGGGTAGGAAATTGATCGGATATTCTTTGCTTCGACTTTGATGCACTCCGCAGTAAAAGACAGCCCCGAATAAATAATCTCGGCCTAGCTGGGTATTTTATAACAAATTATGCGTGCGAACAAAAGGTTTCCTGCCAACGAAAAGTGTTAGGAATATGCATAAATTTCACCTGTGTAACGCGCACATCTGTCATTTGGAACCAATCTTTGGAAACGCAAATAAATGATAGCGAAAAATCCTTATTAATCCCGAGAGATCTTGTCAAGTTTAATTAATAAGACTGTTGTAGATGCCAGTTCGCATAGCCAAAATAACAGGTATACATGTTCCAAATGTAAACCAGCGGATAATCATAAGTAACAATATTGCGTCTGTCGATGCGACAGAAAAGATTTTGAGCAAAGGCTGAAGACGTTTGCGTGCATTCTTTGTTTTCAAGAACTGTCACTCAAGTAGAAAGAAACTTTTCTGTCTGTTGCATAAATTGGCCAAGATATAACATGAATTATTTAACCACATACGCGACTACAAAACACCCAAGTCAGAATAAAAGGTAGCATACTTAAGACTAAGGTGTACACTCTTGGGAAGTTCTTGGAAGAAAATTCGATGAGCCTCAGTTTTTAGACAAAACTGATTTTAATTCTTATTGGGTTATGGGCGATACACAATCGACATTTCTTAGCGGATCGCCTACTTCACTCTTCATATTTTTATTTCCGCCCTAAAAAGATCTGTCAGTATGCAAATCATCGCTAATCTTTTTGGCAGATCACCTGATGTTGTTGTTCAAAGGATGTATTTAGAGCTACATTTTAAGTAGAGTAGAATTGCAATACCGTACCGCGAATGCCAACCGACGCTTCCAATTTCTCGGTCAGGCTAAAACTGCTATCCGCGAAGCAAATGAAATTTTAGTTTCATTAAAATCTTGAACATCCAGTGTCTGACATGATTGCTGCCTGAAAACAGTGATAGTTCTTTGGCAGATTTATTTAAAATTATAAATATTTCACATCTTACTGTCAATGGTGCTGAAAAATTAACATAGCACAACTAAAATAATTGTGTCATTGTTTCCCGTTTTAAAATTTTCAGCATAAATTTTTTAAAAGAGGACTAAGTGTTCTTTGTTGATGAAACTACCGTACTTGTAAGCTACTTGTATCAATTGATCATTTTCTCGGCTCTTTGTTAAGTTGTGATGGGAACCTTTCATTTACATTTGACGACCTACCAATCGCCTATGGTCAATGTTTTGGCCGTCGAAATATGTAGTGCATAATTTAAGTTTTAGCCAGAGAATATCAATGTAGGCAGCTGTTATCAAGATTTTTTGCCTTTTTATCTTTCTGCAAACAAAGTAATTTAGTACTATTGCCCACAATCTAGGTTGACAGCAGAGTTTTATAAGAATCATCGTGATAAAGTGTGATTAGCAAATATTTGCATAATACGAAATGAGATGTTTCAGTGTAAACAAATGAACAATGTGTCAATAACCTACCCAACACAATCTTGGCAATGTGTCAAATAATCGGATAATTATGCTTTCGATGCTCAGCTCGGAAATAAGAGAAAATTAAAATGCTAGGAGCATTTTTTTAAAATTTTTTTTTTGTGCAAACACTTTAGTCCTTGATTTAAGTGAATGAGTCAAGCATTCCAAGTTGTTCGACAGGCGGGGTATGGCAATACATATAAGGAGAAACAACGCACCGCAAGGTATACCAGTATCTTGAGGAAGGGGTTATAAGGACAGAAATCTTGGAAATCGAGAATACAGGGCTACGAAAAGGCTGTAGGCGGAAGATAAATTCAAAGATGCAAAAATTTGTTTACCTTTAATCAGCACACAGCAGCGTTGTGTGATGCAAGGCGGGAGACAGGAGAGTAGGTCATGGAAGGAGAAAAATTACACGCCTTTGTCCACCCCTTCCCCACCTTTCTGCCATAAGACCGTGATTGTAGCCGAAAATTTTTGAAACGTTCTATCTAATTTTTTCATGATGCAAACGTACGATCACAACACGCGGTTTCAATCAGAAAGTAAGTGTGTTTTCCAAGATCATTTTAGGGTCTCCTCGGCTGAAGATTCAAAATAGCTCATGAATCAAGCTTTCCGGAAAAAAAAATGGTTACTTCTGTACTCGCGTCTAATTAGTTGCGGGAGAAAAAACATCTAAAACGCCCAAAAAATTCACAAGAAAGTGCTAAATAGTCCAAAACACAGATGCCTCGTTCGTTAGTATATGCGTCATATACGGTGTCAGCATTGGCAAGAAATCATCAATCTTGGGGTAATAGAGTGGCCATGTTGGCTAAATAGCCTGATTGCAGACTACTATATTTCAGTTGAGTACAAGTTAGATTACTGTTTAAATTATTTCCGCCTGACGTTCTCCATCATCAGCTCCACCAGCCCTGCAATGCAGTATGGGCTTGATAATTTGCACGTGCGCAATGGTGGTATTGAATATCAACATGGCGGACGGAAGACGGGTCATCTTGATGGTTTCAACCTTTCGAAGACTCCTTCAAAATGCAGTAAATTCCAGATTTTAGGAGAAGAACTTATTTTTTAAGCTCAGTATTCTTCTCCTGGCGATGGCACAGTGCACGCAAAGTGCTTTTGAGTTTATACAAAGCGCTTTTTGCCCTATGGTTGCCGTTATGTGCAGTGAAGATGCCGAGAAAGTCTCTCAGAAGAACAACTTGAGTTTTGTGGAAATGGTTCGTCCATTCTGCCATCTTACAAGTGAAGGTAATAAAATAAGGATAATTATATGCTCTACCTTATCAGATTACCGTTCGACTTAACTATTACAAATGTATGAGATTGATTTTATTACAAATTTTTCAGTTTAGATTATACAGGATTGTGGTAGGCGGGTGTACATTTACGTAGCGTAGACGGAAGCAATTTAAATATGGAGAGTTACACTGTAAAAGTTCTATTGATCAGAAACAAGAAAAATATTCTTATTTCAATGATTAACCAACAATTTTTTGACGGTTAGAGAGTGATTTGATGGAGTAATTAAATCGCTTGTTAAACGTACAACTAAATACGAACTAAACATCTGTTTGATCTGTCAATTAAAACAAAACTGCACAACAAGTAAAACCGATAAGAATCTCGGATTTTTTTTTGGTAAAATTTCCGCACAGCCCCGTACCACATTATGTATTCAGTTCTTGAATAGAGAAAACAATGACCAAAACAATACATTGCCATTGGGAAAACAGATTTGTTATACAATAGTATGGGGCTGAGCGGAAACTTTACCGCAAAAACAATTTCCTTCAGAAAAAAATTGTGCAAGATAAAAATTTGGGAAAATTTATGACCCCTAGTCAAATGAAAACATGGCAAGAGAGGCAGTTATCAAAAAGAGTTCGCTCAGTGTGATTACATTTGAACTAAATGCAGTGATGTTGTCCTCTATGTTTTTCATCTTTGCTGCACAGGCTGTCATGAGTGCCATGTACATTCAAAATAGAGATTTTCCAGTACATTATTGGCAAGAGCCAAATATCTTCTCCTCTGGCCTGGCCCCACTCAGTTTATTATTATTTTAAGCCTTTAAGTCCCAAGACCCAAGTAGTATTTCTCCCTTCTAACTGCTAGACAGTCTCTTGTAAATTACACAGGGGAATTTGGCTCCATAACAACATACCACTCTTTTGCTGATAAGCTTTTCTATTCTCCTTACCTGTATGTTATGTAACATATTTGAATTGTAAGGAGAAGTTACAAGTCAATCACCTCTGGGCTTGAAATGGTTGACAAATGGCTGCTGCTCTTTCTCTTTTTTTTGTTTTGCTTTCTTCTTGCATTGACATCTTGTGGGACCTTGTGGAAGGCTTTACAGCTTTTTACAGGTCCTCTCAGGTATTTGTATATGGGCATTACACATATAATGTTTTTCGTTTAATCTAGGACACGTATGCCAGATATTAGTATTAATTGATTATTAAATATTTTAATAGTGGATTAGTGGTATGTTGATTCCCAAAGGTGAACAAATTAATTTAATCACAGATTAGTGATAATCATGTATTACCTGATGTTTTTTACATTTAGCTCATATGAGAGATCCCTCTGGTGTGATCCATCCAGTGAAAAACTGGCATATCCGACTAGTTGAAATGTCTGCCACTCACCCACCTCAGCATGTTGTGAACAAATTGTTGAGTGAAGTTGTATCACGGACACAGCCATTAAACAATGATCCTAGCTCCCTGACTCCTGATGCTCAGGCAAGAGGTGAGTTTTGTGTCATTGTTTTGCAATAATTTATCAAATTTCACTCCTTTGGTCTGAAATTTTCAACAAGGGATAATCATTCACTACTTAGCAGTATATTCAAAAGAATTTGGTCATGTACCACAGCTGGGTTGTTCAAAGCTGGGTCAAGGTAACCCAGGATTAGTGTGAAATCTGATTTTAGATCTGAAAGCTTTGAAAGAAAATTCAATATAACTCTTTTTTTTCACAATTTAATGATTGAATGCTCTTAAAAGAGTAGAGAAAATTATCCCAAAAAAGGCTTTAGAACATAGGAATAAAGAAATGTGGACTTGATTTAAGCCTGGATTGGCACCAGTCAGTCTTCAAACGACTGGGCCCAAAACAATATCCCCCAGTGTGATGTCAAGCTCAATTCTCGTTAAATTAAATCTTTCCTGGGGCTTTGGGATATTAAAAAATTTTAGCTTTTGATGAAGTAGGTGATGTATTTGTTATAATTCCCTGTTAGGTTCTGCACCTTGGTTTGAAGCTTTCCGAGACTGTTTTTTTCAGTTGGTGAAACCGTCTGATCATGAGTTTATCAGACACTTTCTGGCTTGTATCCTTTCAAGGAAATGTTTTTGTTATATCTGTGGTATTGGCTAATGTGTTGATTATGTAGTTGGATTTTTGTCATTAATAAATGCACAATGTATATAAGTATTTTTTGTGATTATCTGATTACAGTGCATGGTCTTTTCTGAGACGTCTGGTCATTACATCTGTATAAACGGCTGCAGTGTGTAAGCCGCTATGTACTCCCAGCCTCTTATAACAGTCATATCTGTGATAGTAAAAGTCTACTTCTTTTTTTATCTTAATTGAGGATAGAGATTAAAACACTTTTGCTGAAATTGCTGCCCAAAAAATACATATATTATAAATATGTGGAATTAATTAATTTTTTTTAATGTGAATTTCAATCTAGTAACCTGTTGTAGTGTACACGTAGTAGTGTAGTGTAGTGTAGTGTTTTTTTGTACATAATTATATCCTTTTGCAATTGAAATTAATTTCCTTGATTGGTTATGCTACCAAAGGCCTGATAGTTGTTTCTTCTCATCATCCTGATCCTATGAATGCTTTTGCAACCATGAGCTCACAGCAAATAGAACAACAATCTGACCAACATGGCCATTTCAAGTGGTTCACCAACACAGTGTTTAAATACCATCTTTTGTTACATGATGTTAGTGTTGGTGAAGAGTCAAAGTAAGAACTTCTTATTCTGGTTGTTCATTTTGTTTTTGAATTTGTATTATTTTGTTAAGATACATGTATCTTATTTGTGATCCTCTTTTCTATAGCAATACACTTTTTTCTAAATTGTTGAGGGAATTTGTTGTTGTATCAATATACACCACTGAAAAGTTGGTCTATGCTAATCACCATTTTGTTGGATAGAGCCAATTTCAGTTTCCAGGATTGCCTTGATTTAGCTTTTCTTCACAATGAGATTGGTCAAGTAAACATTTGTCATTTCCTCAACTGAAATTAAATTCAAAACTGAAAACAATAACCACTTCCTTGCTTCCATTTTCCCTTGCTAAGTCAGTTTGCTTGCTTATGCTTTGAAGTCTCATCCAATGCTTGTGATGTAATTGGCAGTTGCAGTTACTTTGGTTTTGGTTATATGACACTGAATCCAGAAGCACTTTATTGTTGTGATTCTGTAGGAAGAAGTTACTTGCTGGCTAGTTCTGATCATTCGGTGATATATTATCTAAATAAAATCCCATAGTTGATGATTTCTTTATTCACATTACCTGTGCGTGTTTGAAAGTGCCTTAACCATTTAACTCCCAATATCCAATAAGTACATTGTAATTCTCTCCACTGACTACCATGAATTTCCAGCTTGTAAATTAGACAGGAGATTTTGGTGTTTTGTCAAGATAAAGCCTTGTTGTTGATTAACTTGTATTTCTTATAAACCGTTTTTAAGACAATATATTGTGGGTGATCAAGGGTGAAAATTTTAAGAAAAATGTTATACTTCATATGCATTCACCCCTGGGTTTGAAAGGGTTAAACATGTCAAATGTTGTGCAAATTTGCTTTTATGAAAGCTTTTCAAAGCTGAGCACTCCATATTTTTAAGACAAGAGCCTTAAGGAACCCACTGATTTTTCCAAAGAGGACAGTTTCAGGTAATTACTAATCTTGCATTGTCTTTTGATGTTTCACAGGGCAGAATCAATTTACCAGAGTATGAAGTCTGTATATGGTACAAATGCCTGCCATATGCTACAGATCAACTCTGTCAGTAATAGTGGTTCCAATCCTCTTCCAAACCTTCCTGATCCATGGAGTCAATTCATAATTCCAACTAGTGAGGACACATTGGTGAGCCTTTTGATGTTCTGTTCCTCACTTACACTGTCTGGCTGACATGTTTGTTTATACAGTATACTATTGCAGGTGGGAAATGTGGGTGAAAAACAGAGGAGGACAGACCCATGAAGCTTGAACAAGTATTCTCATTTCTCAGTCCAAACTAGAAACATTTAAAATGGTAAATTACTAAAAAGGGGGAAAAAAGTCAATTACTAATCTTACTCCTTTCCAGACTTAAAATGCACCACTTGGTTGACATACTAAAGGAAACTAAAACACATGTCCAAGAATATAGAATTATTACGTGATGCTGGGCAATGAAGCGTGATGAAATATGCCTTAGGCATATTGTTGTTGTAATAGTTAGGGTCAAACCACTGATTCTACTGGAATTTTTTTTTATGCAGTGAAGTCGTCTCGAGATATTTTCCATTCACCCACTATGATTTTATGTTATTGTTCAATGCAATTCCAATACCACATTTGTTGCATCATACCATCACAATTCACTGATCTTACATGCTAACTGAATGGCAATTTCCCCTAGGACTGGGATGATGATGAAGTGGATGCCAATGCACAGTCTGTAGAAGATGATCCTGAGAATTGTGCTGTTGATGAAAACTTTGATCCCGAGGCAGCAGTCCATGAGCAGACTGATGGAGGACGGGTACGCAGCAGCTCAGGACCAATTCTGATTGATCCTTTGAGATTTGATGACAGTGCTGAGATTGAGGATGACTTGGAGAATGAAAAACTATCAAAACATCTTCCTGGCAAACATAGTGAGAAACACCATCATCATCTTGCCAGTCATTACCGTTACTTTTCCAGTCGGCAGTTCTCTGGTGGAACAAGAGGCCCAACAGCTCAAAGAAATCATGGATTGTGCTTGAGTCTGAGCGATCATGACAGGATCAAGATATTCATTCATGAGTTGGGTTATAGAGGACTCCTCCAGTATATTGAGAAACTTATGAGATATCTTAATGATCAGGTAACATTTTATTATTAGCTAATCAAAGACAATATTTTTATAGTGTAAATTCTCTACCACTGAGCTCTTGTCTTCATGCATCTCTCTTACCCTTCAACCCTTAGGAGCAGCTAGCATCTAATCTCTTTTTACACAGTTACTACTGAATCAAGAACAAAGGCTATAAGAATACAAGAAATGACCACCAAGTAAAGAAGCTCTTTAATATTAAACAAATTCTTGTTGATATCAAAGGAAACAAAATTTCAATCAGATTTTTTAAGGGGCTAAGAGGAGATTTTGTTTGTTTTTGTCTGGTGCACCATTCTTAATCTCATCAAGCCTAGGTACTCAGAATTCTCCCTTATTTTATGCATGACAGGTAAAATAAATTTTCAAACCGGTAAAGCAATCCTTTTACCTGTTGAATTTTCAAGAATTCCAAGCAATTTTAAATGGTAATAAGAGTTACTACAAGTGGTAAATGTTACTTGTTACTGCCTGAAAAGGAGAACACTGGGTACTTTAGTCATTAGTTTTTTTTTCATTTTATATATATATATGTTACACACCCATAGTACCTTAATGGATAGGAAACACATGAAAAACAACTCTTTTCATTTTTTGTCCCTCTCTTATTTTCAAGGGAACAGTATCTCTATGGGAATTTTCTTATAATTTAAACTTTTTGTTTCATCTGATCAGATTGTCTCGCGTAAAGGTCTCCATCGCTCAATCTTCAGTGCAACAAAGAAGTGGTTTGGTGGAGGAAAACCAGCTGGAATGGCATCTGGTTTGGTTCCAGGAATCATGTAAGCATTTGTATTTATACATGTATGCATGTGTAACATGCAGTCAAATCTTGTCCAGTGAAACCCTGATCTTCTTTGAACAGAACTCATTAAATCCTCAGCCAAAACTTCTTACAGCTGTTGGTGTATGATGATGACTGTTAAGTTCTTCAACTTTTCTTCCTCTGTGCTGTTTTTTAGGAGATTTGTGGTACATGGTAGCTGGAGGGTCACAGGGTCATTGGATTTATTTCTGTGATGTTATATGCTCTAAAAAAAGAACATTGAATTATATTGTTTTTGTGTGTGAATTCACAGTCAGTGACATTTGTACACTTCTTCCCCATATGTCATTTCAATCCATTTTCACCTCAGAGCCATAGGAAGTCCATTTTGATTGCCATCATGTTCTTACAAGTTCTGCTGTGCATTTCCATTTCATCTTTCAGATACAGTAATGATTCCCCCGAGCTATTCCAACGTAAGCTGGGTGATTTGGCATTTTTGGTCCAAAACTATGAGCTTGCATACAACAGTTACCATACAGCCAAGAGGGACTTCAACAATGAACATGCTTGGTTTTATTTTGCTGGAGCATTGGTTAGTGTTTTGTGTGCTAGCAACCTTTTCCAGGCATTAAGTTGATAAAACCAAGTGCAATATTAAACAGTTTGAAAGTAACAGAGGGGTTAAAAAAATGGTGGAGGTTTGGGTCCAACCATGTGACTTGATCAAGTCACGCAAACCTCCCACTTTTTCACTCCTCTGCTGCTATTGCATTGTTTTATTAACTGAACATCTGTGACAGGCTTGCATGCTGGTATCTTTATACTCTCTTAACAAATGACAATCCTTGAAGATCTCTCTCTGCAGCTAATAATGAATTTTTCACTCTGATAATAAAATGTACAGTTTTGCAGCAGGGCCTGTTCAATTTAATTTTATGGATGTTTTGTAATAATTCTGTTTAGGAAATGGCAGCCATCTCAGCTTTTATGGCATCAAATAATCGTCCTTTTCCAACACACTACATGGAAACATCAATCACCACGTACCTCAACGCATGCAGGTACATATTTTGCTCTTCTAAACTGGTACAGTTCCGTGATCAGATATGATAAATGAAAACCTCCTGTAGATTGATTAGTGGGAAACTTTATCGAGGGCTCAAATGGCTACACAGTGGATGACAAAGATTGCTCTGTCAATGCTCATCTATTATTTAACTATTTAAGGTAGGAAATAATGTTATTCACTCTTTGAGGGACTGGAGCAAAACACTTTGTTTGTAGGTTCTGTTGAAAGGTTTGAAACTGAACAAATTTTATTTCCCAGAGAAAGAGTGAACGTATCTTATTGTATATGACGTTGATTCTTACAAGTGAGTTCATTATTTGTTCTCATGTGAGATTGGACAGAAGAGAGATGAATAAAGAACTTTTTAGGCTCTTTGAATTGTACTGTGTATATAAAAGAACCATTTTCCCCCCACCTGTGAAGTAGCAGATCACAGAAAAAATAAATTTGTTTAATCCTATTATTTGATTGAATTCATTTGTCATTCTGTAGACAGCACCAGTTTGCTATTAGAGCCACCCTCCTCAGTGCTGAAACTCTCAAGGCACGAAATATTTATCTTGACGCTGCCATGCAGTTTATGCGAATGACTGCAGAGGTAAAAAAAATTTATTATAGAGATGCTTTGTCGCAGATATATTGAATTGTCAGACAAAAGCATTAGTCATGGCTAGAGAATATGTAGTTAATGACCTTGGTATATCAGACTTGATGCTCCTGACCCTCTTAGTCCTACTAGTGATTAATAAGTAACTTCTCCCTACGTGTTTCATATTTTACCCAACAAACAAGTGATGAGAATACTCAAACTTATCAAGTAGAAGTTGTTATCTTGATCTAGCACCAAATTCTCAAAACTGTTTTACAATGAAATGTGTATCAGCTAGAGGGGAGAATGGACAATCAGACCTTGGAAGTTAAAGGGTTAACCAGCTTTGGTTTTGTTGCATAAAAAGGTGAAATGACTTTTAGGTTTCTCAAGGAATTGAAAGGTTTGTACTCTGATCCCTCTCTGTGCCCCGTACAACGTTTTCCTTATTTTTGTTTCCTTTACAGGATTCTGATCTTCTGTGTGCTTTGTTTTTGGAGCAAGCAGCACATTGTTTTCTTCACAGCAATCCACCCATGATTCGCAAGTATGCTTTTAACATGATCTTGGCTGGTCATCGTTACAGCAAATCTGCGCAGGTACGGCTCGGTGGAGAAATATATTCATACTCCTAGTCGCTTCGCGCTAAGGAAACTGGAATGAGTTCAAGATGAATGGGCCACCTGACTCGAGCACAGACTTAACCTTGTGATATTTTTCTCGTTACCGTTTTGGATTTTTTTCAAGCATTTCGGAGTTGCTGATTTAAATAGTTGGACTAATATTTGTTGTTGTTTTTTTTTAAATATATTTTTGTTTCCTTTTCCTTTTCAGAGAAAGCATTCCTTGAGATGTTATCGGCAAGCTCTTTACGTATACAATGAAAAGTCATGGCACCTTGCAGAGGTTGGAAATTACAACGTCCAGTCAAGATAAATTACCTATGCACAATGTATTTTATGAGGAACTTTTTATTTTTTAACACTTTAACTCCCAAGAGTGACTAAGACAGAATTTTTCCTTACAATATCAATACAATATCAAGCAGACAAGTGATGAGAATAAAGAAAAATATCAATTTTGGGGATAATTAGTTGATCCAATACTAAATTTTCTGCACTAACCTCATAAGAATTGTATGGTTGATAGTAAGGAGAATTACAAATTTGCTCAGGGAGTTAAAGGGTTAAATTAGTGACGTTTTCAATTGAGTGTTGGAAGTAACCCAGGATTGCATTGGTTTTGCTTTCCTTTGCTTTGCTCTCTGATAAGTCCTGAAAACTCGCGCCACTTTCCCAACCAATCCGATTTGAGATAAAACAACAATCGCGACACAGTCTCTCGCGTTTTCCCGCACTTGGAGCTGTTTGCTGGATTTTACTTAGAGTTGCTATTGGCTGCAGATAAAGATTTCCTTTTATCTGGTGGCCATTCTGACTACCTTGCTTTGGTTTTAGAACACTAACAAAAAGTGCTCTAAAAGTTTATGACGATTTGTCAGGAATTGCAAGAAGACAAGCAAGGGATAATTCGTTTACGTTGTGAAAAAAGTCACTACGTGTACGTGACTTTGATCACTGAACTAAAAGTTGCGAACTTCCTTTTGCAGGACCACATCAACTTCACTATCGGTCGCCAGTCATTTAATCTTCGTTTGTTGGAGGATGCTCAATCATTTTTTAGACAACTGTTGGAGTACGAAAGCTCTCAAGCACCAGAACAACAGGCGTCCTACCTCAGAGAATTCCTCTTTGTTTTTAAGGTACATGCATTTTGTATGGAACAAATCAACCGCTTCACGGCCACCCAGTAATTTTGAGAGCCTATGTTGAGAACTCAATGAGAGCCTGCTGCGGCCTGCGGAGATTACACCTTTCCATTGAGTTCTATGCATTACAAGATAATTTGGCTTTATCAACTAGGTTGAGAAAATGAATTGGCCACCAAAAAGAGTTTCTAAATAGGTTTCTAGCTAAGAAACTCTTTACAGAAGGCAATTTGCTTTATTAAACCAGTTGATAAAATCAAATTATCTTACAATGCCTCTTCTCCCCCTCCCACCCCTCCCACTGTCGCAGCGCCACTGTTTCTTAATCCTTTAACCCCAAAGAGTGACTATCATCTAATTTCTCCTTACAACATCACCCTTGAATCATACATAAAGGTTACGAGAATAAAAGAAATGATCAACAACTTAGGAATCTCTTGATTGTTAGACAAATTCTCCTTGTCAGCACCCTACAAAATGTACTGACAACAGTATGGAGAATATGCATACTGACCTTAGGGTGTCAAGGGCTGAGGAACTTACCCCCTTTAATCTATGTACGTCCGTTGGTTGCATGGGACAAGTAGTTTTCGTTGTCTTAAATGTATGCCAATATGTTAAGTGTTTGATGTCATACTTCTTCCTGGCCTTTCTTTCAGCAATTAAAGGATATCAAAGTAAAAGAGAAAGCACAAGTGAATAAGCTTCCTGTTCTACCTTTACCCTTAATTGTCCACGATTCAACGAAGGTTATACCATGTTATCGACACAACAGTCTTCAAGGCAAACAACCTGAAAGGACACCTGTGAACAGTACATTCGAAACAAAGGACAATTTTTTTTATCAAAAATTCAGTGCTAATGATGAGTTAATCAAAAATAGCAACTGGACTTCTGTTGGACAAACTTCTTTTGATGATAAATTTAATCATACATTGGCTCAGAGGTGGATTAAACTACAGCAAGAAGCGTATGAGAGTATCAATATGACCACTTTTCCTCCTTCGTTTCGATGCCAAACGCCGTGTTTAAGCTCAAAGACTGATAACAGAGCGAGGCCTCTCGGTGTTGTTAAAGGTATGTAAAAGTTTTTGCATCCCAGATCAGATACAGTAAGGGAGGTTTTTGCTGAAACCATAATGTTTTTACCTCCACCATTGCAAACTCTGAATAATGATGACATCACGGGAGTTTTAAGATTCCAGAGAGTCACCTGACTTTTAAAACAGTTTTCGAATGTGCTAAAAATTCCACTTCGTACGCCGCCATTTTCAATATTACCTAGCAACCTGGCCGCTAACCCTAAGAGTTACATAGTTTCACTTTTTGTTCCATCTTTTGGCGAAATTTCAGCCATATCCTTGTAATTACGTAAGTCTTGAATGTGGTGCAGTGCGCAGATATTTAGCTTTCAACTGTGTTGTTATTATTTTGCCATTTCAGAGACTGTTGGAGTAGAAGTTGTTCTTAAAAATCCCCTCAAGATTCCATTAAACCTGACAAATCTTTTGTTATTATGGGAATTCACCCCTGAAGGTCAAGAAGATAGCGTCTCAAATGAGGTTAGCGAAAGTAAATCACAAAGAGGAAACTTTGCAATTATTTCAATACTAGAGTAGAACAGGTTGTACGTTTACGTATATCGGCAAACGGAAAAAATTTAACCTCTTCCCATCTGCCTTAAGTTGTTTGCACGTCAAAGAGAAAATACTTGGATTTACTTTGAACAGAAGGTGTTTTTTTGCTGATGAGAGGAAAAGTGCCGTTAACGTTTAACTACCTAACAAATTTATACGTGCGTTAATATTCTGTTGTAGTTTTCACCAGTGGAAGATGTGGTCAAAACGGAAATAATCAAGAATTTTGATATCAGTGGAAATGAAACAAAAGCTGTAAGTAAAATAAAGAAGGATGAATCCAGCTATCCTCATATAATCACTTGAGGTATTGTGAATTTTTTGAGTAACGTTGAACCAAACAGTTCTTTTTGTGAACAATGTCAAGAAAGCCAACATTTATTAACTTACTTAAGAAAAAATTTAAAGAACTGTTGATATTTTAGACCGGCCACTGAAGTCAAATCTCGGCGTTTAAATAACCCGCCCATGGTAACTGAAAAATTGCGCTGTGTTCCTACAGGCCCGTCTTACTGTGATTCCGTGTCAGACGGGGCGACTACATATCACAGGAATTAAATACAGCTTGACTAGTGTCGCCGTCAATGGACCAGTTGAAGAGAAAATCTCCGTCCCTCCTGGGTTGAACCCGGCTCTGTCAGACATCAGCATGCAGGGGAGGTTAGACTTTGATCAGAGAGGTCCTCGACTTAATAACACCAAGGCAGAAAAGACGAGTGTCATCTATGGTCCAGACTATCGTCTTAACTTGGATGTTGTATCGCCTATGCCGTTACTTGAGGTAAAAAACATAATCCGCGCTTACACCATATGCAGAGCAATTCTTGAATTTTGTATCGGGATTAATTTGGGTTTGGATTTGCTTTTTGTTTTCTGAGCGTTGTGATTGTTGTGGGAACCTAAACAGACGACAATAGAACGCCAGTAACTGGCTTTTACTGAAACCGCTGTGTATATGTTGTATCATGATCACCAAGAGCGTGCGGCACTCGAGTTTCAAAATTCTGTCCGGACATTTTCACAATCGTGCTATACTTGCAGTAGAATCGATTCAAAACTTTTTCGGAGTAATTTTACGAGATAACACTTTTTTCATCAGGTTCGGTTCTCTGGATTTGCTAACAAACTGCTTTGTAACGAAGTGGTCCAAACCATGGCAGAGTTCACTAACTGTAGTGAGTGTCACCTTGAAAACCTCTACATCGCCACACCCAACCCCGAGTTCTTCACCTTTGGAGTCACAGGACATACGGCGGTGAATGTGAAATGCAGCTTAGCTGCGAGCGATGTCAGAAGAGTCTCTCAAGTTCCCATTCCGGGAGGTAGACTTCCGCCTGGTCATACGACCAAGCTACCAGTTTGGATTCAAGGTCATGGCAAACCTGGCAGATTCAAACGAGAAATGCTGTTTTACTACCAGTCTGCAGGCATCAAATCTGCAATGAGGTAATGCAATGTAGCTAAGCAGTGTAGTTTGCAATGGAGTGTCAAAAGTAATCGGGGATTGTAATGGCTTCTCTTTACTTCACCTTGTGGTCGGTCTAGAAAACTCAATCCACCTTCTCACCTCGTGCCACCTTTAGTTGCAAAACTAAAACCATTGGTGACTTGGTCACCGTCTTTTTCCCGCGCTTTAGAAAGTTTGCTTATTCAAGGGTTCCTTTTGGTTTTTTATATGATATTTTCCTTTGTTCTGATTGGACGGCTTTGATTCACGTGATATTGGTTTGGTTTTGGGACACTGACGCAATCGAAATGCATTCCACGATTTTGTAACATTACTCAGGAAAAGATAGTTATTGTGGTGCTAGTATCAATATTTTACGGTTTTGTCTTTCATCTGTGAATTTGTGGTTGAGTCTGGTGATGAGCGTTTACTTGAACCTTTGTCTTGCAGTTATCGAGTCCTTCAACATGCCTTTGACGTAACCACGAATAGTTCTGTTGCTGTGCGCGCCACGGCCAGGCGGAACAGACACTCCGTTTCTCAACCAAGGTACGTTACTGATGATGCTTGTTTGAGAAGTGCATTTTTTAATGAAATCTGCTGATTTTACAGTGCAGAGATGCGGTAAACAAATAACGCATTTTAGTAAAGACTTAATAGGTATGCTTACTTTTGTCTCTTAAAGTTCTGAAGATCAGAATCAGTTGGTTATTGCTTTGGATGTGGAAAGTCTTGTACAGGTCAGTGGGCTACGACTTTTCAAGTTATCAGTTCGTCTTCTTGGTAAAAATTTTTGCGTCTTGGGCCAGGCTTGCAGTCGATTTTCGCTGGATTTTTTCGTGTGGTTTAAATGAAAATGAGGGTATAGTGAGGCCAATTCCTGCCGATCAAGCGCAAAGAAGGCTCGCTTTACAAGGATTTATAGGATGTCCAAAGAATTGAAAAACATCTTTCAAATTCGTCGGACATTTTTTGTTTCGACTATTCTCAGGACGATTATTGAACTCTTCGACTGTATTGCAGCGGAATTTTTTTGTCGAATTGCCCTGCAGATCAAACGAAGGATATGAGTTAGCATTGAGTAATTCCTTTTGTGTTTTTGTTTCGAGTACGGGAACAAAGCAAACAATTTCTCTCAGAGGCAGCCAATCACAAGGCAGGGTTCTCCCACGGAACAAGCCTTATAGTAACCATACATAACTAAGTATCACTTTGTTGCTTGTAAACTTTACAGGGTGAAGTAGCAAGGAAACACGCGGTATTCTCCATCGTTCAAGTATCTTGTGCAAGCAGGAAGTGGACTTTGCAGCCTCTCAGCCACCACAATGCAGGTAACCAAACCATTCTTGACGTGTTTAGTTGTTTGAGTTGCATCTCAATTCTTTACGAACAGGTTTTCCTTGGCAATTTTTCTCCTGACAAAGGTGCTTGTGAAATGAACAGACGAGTTATGTAGACTAACTAAGAAAAATGTGTTGTCGCAAGTTTTTCTTCGCTGTTGCATGAACCGAACATCTTTGTTGCTGACAAGTGTTTTTATGAAGGGAACTGTCCTGTGAAAATGCAGCTTCGGTTAAGCTGTTCGTTTTGATTTTTTCAATTATCTCTGTTCTGTCCTGTCGACCGCCATTGCCCAAGTGTCATTGAAAGTTATCTTCACGACTTAGCAATGTCTTGTTATTTTTTTTTTTTTAATCAGATGGTGCTATTGAAGTACGATATGCCGAAACAGTAATTGTCCAGTTCAAAGCAACAAAGCACAGCGGTAAATACCAAGAATTATTGTCGGAAGTTGCACGCCTCAAAAGCTCTGTTGGAAAATAGCTCGCTTTAGTGCAATTTCCAGTATATGTTTAAAGTAAACCGAGATGCATAGCCCTTGCTCAGTCACAACACTCTGTGATATTACTCGCGCTATCCTGTCGGCCAATCAGATGGAGAGCTTCTCTAACAATCGATTGCAACTTGGTTCCTCGCGTTTTCTGCTCCTTTTATTCTGTAATTGCCTGGGGTTTGATTTTACGCCGCTCGTTTAGACTTGTTCCAGTTTCCTTCAGCTTATTATATTTTAGGCAGCCTGAACCGGCCTTAGTAAATAGTTAAGATGGATGGTAAATTTTGAGCTCAGTCATGAAATACAAAAAAAAAAGGTTTTTCGTGTTGTCATGAACGTCGAACAAAGGAAAAAATCTGCGTTTCCGACAAGAATCGGTCCTCAGACTTTCGGAATCCGTGCCTCGATGCATGACCACCGAGCTACAGAGAACTCTGGTGAATTAGGCCATTTCAAGGATTACATGTGACAAACGTCCTGCATACTGCTACTGAGGATCGGAATTGTCAAAAGCGTTGTGTTAGTAAATTGCTCATATAGATAGTATATAGTGGTAGCCTAACTTTCTTTGACCTGCACATTCAACAAGACAAGCGACATCTTTCCTTTTAAAGCCTGCATTCGCCAGGCAACAATTCCCCGCGCTCGGTTTTTTTAACTAATCAAATAATATGTTTCAGTTATGGTTACATTTCAATGTCTGTTTGTCTTTGTGTTTGTTCACTTCAGGTGCTTCTGATTCTTCAGATGAACTCCATTTCAGCCACGTTTGCTTCGTTGAAAATGAGGTAGGAGCGATGGATTGAACAAAGTATTGAAAGACAGGACAGAAACGAACGACAAAACACAGGAAAGAAAAAGTTAAATGAAAGGCAAAACAAGACACCCATGTAAAACGCATTAGGCTTGACCTTTACGCTCACTTTTGATCCTCCTAGAACGGCGATATGTGCTATAATGTACATTTGCCTCTATTATCTTAGCCTGTAAATTTTATTGCCTTCTACCACCTAGCAGTGACTTCCGTGCAAGTTCTTTTTAATATACTGTCCAACGAACCGGTAACGGAGACAAGGAAAACTTGTCGGGGTGTTTTCTTGATTTTAAATCAAATTCCTTTGACTATTATTAAAGAAAATGTATTGCGGCCGAAATGGGAATTATTGATCAGAACTTGGGTGTCCAAGGGTCAATATGTTGTGAGTCATTGAGTCCTCTTGGCAAGGTTTGAAATCCTCATGAAAACCTCATGGATCAGTGGGTCGTTTATTCGTCAAACCTTGCTTTCCTTGTCGTGTATTTAGCCGGTCACATTAACATCTTTTCTTTCACACGATAGTTTATATGATTAACGATTATTGTTCGTCAATTTGCAGATCGCAGCCTCGTGTTCTCCAGCCGTTGACTTCTTCTTCAGATCAGACGCCTGGAAAGAGCAGAAACAATTCGCCAAGAAACTTGACTCTGCGAGTGTTGACGACACTTCACAAGTGGATATTGGTTTGATTGTGTTCTGGCAGGTGAGGCTTGTTAATATCAACTTTCTGGTGCAATTTTTGTAGCATGAATGGGCTACTCGTAATGCTACTCCACTGGTGAGGAATTCTGTTGTATAGCAGCCTTTCTACATCACACGCACACCCCCCCCCCCCCCCCCCCCCCAACTGCCAGTTTTTTCTCACTATTTCCTTATGCCTTTTTATATCCGCGGATCTAGAGAGGCGCGGAGAGACTTTTCACCCAAGGACACAACATGAAATACCCAGTTAGGGGTCGAACCGAGGCCTTTCGATACATAGTCAGGCGCGGGTGATGTACAAATGGTTCTGAAAACTAATTAACACTTAGAGAGCGCGACATATGGAACAGCCAAACTGAACTGCGCCGGCATCATCGCTTAAGAAGGGCTCAGTTCATCTTATTTTATGCAGTGTCCGATCTCGATGCTAGAGAAGAGGTTTACTTGCTATCTGGCTTAGCTCGCACATGCGCTGTTTTAGAGATGATTGGCATGAAAGTAAAGCGTTTGATGATCATAATTCGCCCTTGCTTTTTTTATCATTCATCATTATTATTTCTCAGACTTCATATATAGACAAGGACTTTCAAAAGCAAATGGTCAATGGCCAGAGTCACGTAAATATCAACAGATTGGCGGAAACAGTGTCAGCTGTCACAAAACCACTGGTAAGGAAGCTGGTATTCCTTCCCATTCTCTTCTGTTTTCTCCTTTATCTTTTATTCTTCCTCTTTACTCACCTTTTTATCTCCTTTACGTCTCTGATCTTCCATCAACAAAGTTACGATTACTGCCATAATTTTCTCGTTTTAATATTCATACCAGTCACCTTTTTATCTTCGTTCGTGTCCAATCTTCCATCCACGATGTAAGGGTTGTAGCCATAATTTTCTATTTTTTATATCCCTGGTAGTCTTTAACATTTTCATGTGCTCACTCAGGTACCGCCGTTCAATTCCTCTTTTCTTGAAACGACGTCACAAGGTGACACTGATAGCGTTAGTAACTCAGAACTACTTGTCAAGTATTCCTTGCGGCATCCTGCATCGCTCCAAGTCAATTTTTCCTCTAGCAGGTAAGGGAATATTCCTTGTTAGGAGCTTTATATTGTCCTTTGTGTCATGGATTAAAGAAACAAAAGAAAAACAACAACAACAAAAAAAATCGGAATCCGTGCACCGATGCTCGATCACTGAGCTACTGAGAACTCTATGGTGAGTTAGGCCATTTCAAGGTTCACGTGTGACACACGTTCTGTTTCATGCGACCCTCGCCTGTCCAGCCTTGAATAGTTTTCCGACTTTATTCGGATTCCGCGGCCAAGAATCGTAAATCGTATTCTGCAGCCTATGAGTGACCAAGACAGAATTTCTAATTACAATATAGAATAGAGAAAAATATAGATTATGAGATTTAAGATCAAACTCTCCGAACTAACGTCACAAGATATGTATGGGAGTCGAAAAGGAGAATTACTAATGAGATCTTGGAAGTCAATTGTTGAACACATTCCATAGACTTTTGTTATTGGTTAACTTTATCGAGCATATAGGAACATGCCAACGGTAAAGTGGAGAATAGAGAAAAATGACTTAATTATCAAGAAGAGAAGTAAAACATAAATACCTAGCATCATTGGGCAGAATGATTCATTCTCTGGAACTTTTTTATTTATTTATTTTTTCAGGTTGGCGCGTGTTGTGGTGGAGCTGTCGTTACACAACTGTTGTTCAACAACCGTCGACGTGTTTGTGGAGCTAGTCCCAAGGTTTGTTCAGTTCGGTTTACTTACATTGATATACCTGATTTTTCCGTTTAACAATTGGGCAGAAAAATTGCTGATACTCCTAATCGCTTTATGATATTACAACGTTCATAAGCTTCGCTATGATGGGCATGTTCTTTTTGTCGTCTGACTCTATGTTTACATCATCCCTCCACAAAAATTCTGTTTCATTTTTCTCCTCGCAGTGTCGGAAACTCCTCATCAGTGTCAGAAGGTGAATCGAGCAATTCCACAAACAATACCGTTTCCTTCGACAAGGATACAGAATCTACGTCATCTCCTAGCTCATTCACTTGGGTTGGACAGACATCGAGAAGATTTCAATTAGACCCGAACGGAACTTCGATGTTAAAATTCAACGCCCTGGTGTCGCTTCCCGGCGTCTATAATATGAACAATTTGCGCGTTCTTGCGAGAATTTCAGATGAACACGAACCTGGGGGTGTCTTAATTCTCCAGAAACCGTGTCCGCCAAGCTTTACAGTCGTGGAAAACATTTTTAGCAATCCTAAGGACAAAAGTTGACTTCGGAAACTAGCCTTTGAAATTCAGTATTACTTTTGGAAAAATTCAGTATACCCCGAGTGGCCAGAATTTTCGGGGCAATGTGTTGAGGTAGAAAAGTGTAACAGTGTAACTGTAAATAGCTTGTAGGACAGGAGAAACAGGAAGACATTAATCGATCAAAGAAACAATAGATAGGTATCAATTCGTATGAATCCAGGTTCGGAATGCAGATCTGAATTATTATTCCGTGTTTCTTCATAGTTTTGATGAGATGATACAATACCGTGAAAATTATATTTTTTAAAAAACGGTAATAGTTAACGGCAACTCAGTGGGAACATTTACTATATGCAAAGTTCATCGAGCCATAATGAACCTTACATAAAGTTATTAACAAGGATGCTGCATATTTGACGGTCTCTCGTTCAGAAGCCTGGGTACAAAAACTGCGGTTTGCATGACAATGATTGCCTCGAAATGTTAGGTATGTTCGCCGCTACTATTTTGATAGGGATGGCAACACTCGGAACTGATCGCGAATTTTACAAAGATCCGTAAGTGATAATGCCTTATTCACTGGACTGTTGTTATGCCACGTTGTGACAGATCGTCAAGGGAGTAGGAGCATATTGTTTAATGAACGCATTTACTTTGCTGCATAGCAAATTTCGAGGGACGCGATGTGAGTTTGAAACTTTCACCGTCAGTTTTTAATCGTCACTTATGTTCGTCTCTACGTTTGTCTGGCTTTCTACTCTCATTCTTGTGGTACTTCCATTTTTATCAAGGCGAGTGTTATTTGGCCAACGACACCTGCTTTGCTTGTCAGTACAACTGCCTTACCTTTCTCCATCATAGATTACGGCAAATATAGGGTAATTAAGTCAACTTTTTAAAGGAAAGAGATCAAGTGAATCGAAAAAGCCTCAAATGGACCACAGAATTTTACCTTGTGTATGACTTACTTTTACCTCAGAGTTACACACTTTTAAGAGACGTATGTAGTTTTGTTTTTCTTTTTTGATTTTGATATGAACGATCGCTCCGAAGAAACATTTTTGGTTGTGAGTTTCTTTTATATGTTTGAAGTCACGTGTATTAAGTCGAAAGATACGAATTTTATTTACTATTATTCAGCGCTTTAAATGGGCACCAATCTTCAAATTCTGTCAGCTCTTCCTCGAAATATTGACTTTTTATTTTCTAACCACGTTAAAATCCAAGGACGAAAAAAAGAAATAGTCGGGAGACATTCTTGAAACATTTGCACAAATGAAGAAAATTATTTTACTGAATAACTTTATTGAAAAGCTGTTTGGAACAGAGTTAAAACTAGTGTGAGAGTTGGACACATTGACGTCCTATCTGAAATGGATCCCGCTGGTTTTAATATCAGTTGTAAGTTTCAAACCGTAAATGCAGTTGTCTTTTTGTGAACAATGTATCCACACTGTCTTAACTTTAAAACTAGTGCTGATGACATCACGATAATGGAGAAAACGCATTCTTGGTGGTGACTTTGCTTGGTTAGGATCTCATCGACAAACCTAGCACTGCCTTTTGCATGCATGCATAAATATGATATCAAGATCGTACAAATTTGTTAAATGGTTGTCTAATGGTTCTTTATTGGTTCCACTTGAGTTTGACTGGAAATTTTGTTAGGTGGAAAAATTGATAACAATAAACTTATAGGAACAAAGAAACATGCCTGTGTTACTGGAATGGTTAGGGGCTTACCAGTTAGCATGGCCAAAAGAATAAACTTCAAACATTTCCTCCTTTACACTCGCTTTTGTCTTAGTAGGAAACACCTTTAGCAGGAGATTGCCTTGTGAGTGAGAAGGAACCAGGACGAGAAAAGTCGTCTTCAATTGTGTTTAAAATTCTTGGTTGTTAATTACGTCGATCCCACTACAGTAACTCGGGAGATTTGTAGGAAGCAGAATGAAGAATAAGCATACTGATTTTAGGGTTAACTTACCGCATATATACGATAGTACGAGTTGTTAAACCTTATGATGGAAATTGTTCTACATCAGTGTAACGCTAATCTGCACGAAATACTCATTTAGTTACGACACTCACTACTTACGTAATATACTTTGATTAGTCCAAAGAGATCTGTTGGTACAACTGGGTAATTTAACATTGTCAACTGAGTTGAAACAACTTGTTGGCATAACTGTTGCCGTTCAAGAATTAAGTTAAAGAAATTCCTAAATGTCACTGTCTCCTTGACCCT